GGAAGAAAGACAAATGGTCTTGGCCTGTGATATAAGGAAGGGAGGAGACAGGCGAGGAGGGACACCGCAAGAGGATATAAGTCGGGGAAAGGTAGGGGATGAACCTCGGAGAAGTTCTCTCAGGGGTGCCTTGGCTTTGTCCACAGGCATCTCTCCATACTTGTTACAGATACTGACAAGGGCTCCATTAGCTACCAGGTCCTGGAATGAGAAGGTGGTTAAGAGGGTCCCTGCTACCTCCTTGGCAGTAACTCAGATGCAGTACACACCCTGTAAGTGTAAAACACTAAGAATGGGTTGAGTGTTTCAGAATCTCCCACTCAGGCTCAAACTTTGCATCCCTCCCATCCCAGGGCTTAGGGCCCAACTCCTTACCTCTGCCACCTGGTCTTGGCCCCAAAAGCAGGCATAATGCAGGGGTACATTTCCATGCTCATTCACTGCATTGATGTCAGCCTTGTACTGCAACAGCTGGGCCCCATGGCCAGAAAGACAGAAAAGGTAGAAGGCACAGTCAATCCCAAATGAGAGATGGGTGCTGGGGTATTGGGGTTGGAGAGGAGAAGAGCACACATACTTTCTATTGTATGTTAGAGTGCTTGTATTGATCTCAAGGCATGTAGACAACATGGGTGATGGAGGGGTTTGTACATTACCTTCTGTACAATATCACGGTGTCCATGACTGGCTGCTAGGTGCAGGGGCGTGTCATCCCCACGATTCATTACATTGATCCGTGCCCCTCGCATGATCAGCATCTCAACCACAGCAGAGCGCCCCTCTCGGCAGGCCCAGTGCAAGGGGGAGAAGCCATGATCGTCCCTTTGAGGAAGGGGCAATGGTAAGAGGTGGGATGGGACAGAGGCTTCAATGCAGGAGACTCTGATACGTCTTAATACTCTCCATGTGAAACCTTACTCTCTGTGACTTTAATTTTCATCCATGCCAGCAACTCCCAAGTCTGTTCAATTCAGATCTTGCCCTGAGCTTCAGACCCAACCAGGGGGGCACTCAGGGGACCTTAAACTCAACAAGTCCAGAATATGATTTATTATTTTCACTCTACTCCTTTATTCCCTGGTACACCCTGTCTCAGATGGCAGTACTCTTCATCTGGTTTCCCCAGCTTTTGCAGTGTCTTGCTTCCTCTGAACTGCACCAGACTAAAAATCTTATTTGGCTGTCTTATTAGACTATAAGCTTTTTGAGGGAATGAATGGCAGCAGGTGTTCAGCACATGCTAATGGGGGGCAGGGTATCCTGGAGAAGGAAGACCACAACTTAAGAGGGTGGGAGCCAAACTTACTGATTGGTTCTTGTACTGAAACTAAAATCTAAAAATGGAATGGAATTAAAATGACATCTTGGAAGGGTTTATCATGAAAAGGAGAAATGCTTTCGATAAGTCATTGCCCTACTGTGCCATCTTGGGCACAGAAAATAGAAGATGAGAATGGCTGCTTTGGAAAGAAAACTACCTGGCTTTTTCTTTTCTCATGGGCATGTATTTTACAAAGAAAAAGAAGTATACAATAATAGTAATACAAAAAAGCAATTGGGTGGGAGCTGGGCCTGCCTGACAGCCTGGGGCCATAAAAGGAAATTCCCTCCAGTTCCAGGCTGCAGCTCCAAGGGGCGGAGCAGGGGGGCGGGCCAAGGTCTGGGCTGGCAGCCTCTAGATGCCTTACTGCTGTGGTCACTTCCCATGCAGAAGCTCTAGGTGGGGCTTGGAGCTGGTCAGGGGTCTGACCACCCCAATGGGCTCCTTAACCCAGACAACCCTGCAACTGATGGGGGGGGTATGTGGTCTTTATTTTACTGATCTCCCTTCCACAGCTTGCCCACATCCGCTAACACAGCCAAAAGCTTTCCCAGGAGGTGGGTATGACCCCCACCAAGCAACGCCCACCCCCTGCTTATCAGACAGCCTTGCCTTCCAGCTCTTTAATTTGTGGTCTAACTTATCGGTCTCTAGCAGTCTGTGGCCCCAAGGCAGACCAGCCTGAGGGCAGAAGTATGGTGCAAAGGTTTTGCCCACTGTCCAGCAGCCTGTCACCTTAAGGTCTAGACTTAACTATCCCAGAGATACCTGCAAGGAATTGCTCCCCAACACACACCCAGCATATACTAGCTTGGACCCCCTAGATCCTGTCCCCTTAAACCAGCACCAAAGCCTTCTATTTTCCCTAATGCCACCCCTCCACCTTTTGGAAGTCCTCCTAGATGCCTAAGCCTCTAATTTTTCCAACAACACATAATGGTTTTCACTAATTTTATCAAGCACCCTTTGAGAAATATGAAAAATGGGATGAATGTACTTTGCAAATTATGATGGGAAATTGTGTAGTCTAATGGCAACCAGTGAAGCATATGTTAAGATGACAGGTGATCCTTACCTCTCAAATCTAAAAACTAAACTTCCCCCAACCTTAAAAAAACAAAAAAATTGGTAATTTTCACTCTGAATCACCATAATTACTGCTTTCCTTACCTCTCTCTCTCAGCCAATCATCAAGAACTTGTTTACATTCACATTTTCTATCTCTTCACCTCCCATTTATTTATTTTTTTTAACTTGCCACAAGTTGGCCACCTTGAGGACAAGGAACAACATAACTGATTATGGGCTTCCAGAGCCCAGCACAGGAGCTCTGGTGGCATAGTGCCTAAGGCATTTGACTGCTAACCAGAAGGCTGGCAGTTCAAACCCACCAGCCATTCCTCGGAAGGAAGATTGGGCAATCTACTTCCCTAGTGATACCACCTCAGGGTTGCTTGAGTGGAGATCGGCTCGACGGCAGTTTGGTTTTGGAGAGCCCAGCACAGGAAGTGTTCAGTACATTTCCTTAAATGTATGAACCCACTAGAGTTTGGTTTCTTTATCTGTTTTTCCTCTGAAATGGCTCTCAACGAGATCATCAGACATACTCTAAATGTAAATTCAGTGGTTACTTTAAAGCAGCCTATAATGCTGTTCCACTGAGTATCAGCTAACAACACTACTATTGACCATTTCTATTTTGTTGAAACATTAGTTACAATAAGCTTTACTGACACTTTCCAGTTTTCCTTCAACCTGTGGTTGCTCCTTTTCAGTCTGGTGGCAGGCTTCTCATCCCCTGCCCTTTTATCTTCCACTCTTTCAAGGGGCTGTTGTTGTTGTTGTTGTTATTTGCCATCGAGTCGGCCCCGACTCATAGCGACCCCTCCTTGGGTTTCCGAGGCAGTTATCACTACGGAAGTAGGATTGCCCAACCTTCCTTCCGAGGAGTGGCTGGTGGGTTTGAACCGCCAGCCTCCTGGTTAGCAGTCAAGTGCCTTAGGCACTATGCTACCAGAGCTCAAGGGGCTAGTATCTCCCAAATCTGTGCCTCCAAGCCACATCTCTCTCCTGAACACCAAATCCGCATAACCAACAGCCTGCTGTATTGTCACCTTAACTTGTCCAGAATGGAACTCATCATTTTCCTTCAGTGTTTTCATCTCAGTAAAAAGAAACACCATCTACCTGAGTGTCCAAGCCAGAATCCTGGTCATCACCTTTAACCTTCCTAAGCAAGCCCCACCCCACCCCAAGTCTTCACCCTAAAGATTTTTGGAACCTGATCACTTCTCTTTTTCAAATACCTCTCTTCTAGTCTGTGGTCACTTCTGTAATAGCTTCTGATATCCAATCTTGCCTGTTCTCCATAAAGAAAGGATCCAAGATGATACTTAACAAATAGGCAACCTCATCATTACTGCACAGCTTTAAGTGCTTGCTCTTAGAATAAAGATTTTCTTGTGGCCTAATATCCTTGCATGATCGGGCTGACCTCTGCAGACCTCTCCAGCTTTAGCTCCTGTCATTCTCCTCTTGTACCTAATGTTGCAGCCCACTGAAGTAGTATTCTCTCCTCCAGCCATATGGAACTGCAGACAATTTCTTAGAACTCTCTCCTCCCAGCTATTGCCCATACAGTTCACTGAAGCTAGAAAGCTCTCTGCAGCCTCTGCCTGTGAAACTCTTTCAGCTGTCAAGACTAAACTTCAAACACTGCTGCCTCTGTGGAGACCCTCTGTCTTCCCACAGGCTGTGCTTAACACTCATCACACTGGATGGCGAAGTCGGCACCCCTCTTCTCTGCCTCTCCCCACCAGCCGCCTCAGCTCACCCCTGGTTGAGGTCGTTCTCGGTGTTGTCCAGCCACAGGCGCACGGCAACCGCGTTGCCTTCTCGGCATTGAGTAAAAATGTCGTCCATAGCAGAGTCCCGGCGCAGAGTCCCCTTGATTGGGTAAGCCTGGGGACTGTGGAGGGACCAGGGGAGGGGGATGAGCCGCGAGCTTTGTTCCCTAAAGAGACGTGTTTCTGTTGGGGGCGGGCATCTGGGCCCAGTGTCCGCGGCTTGAGCCAGGAAAAGGAATTTGGGACAACGGGATGACCCCCTGACTGTGTCGCCCAGCGTGAGGGAAAGGCAGGTCTGGCAGGAGTAAGAGATAGTGTTGTTTCCCGCAGGGAATAACAGAGGGCAGGCACAGAGATCCCACCCGCGAACAGAGCTGGGGGTAGGGGCAGGAGTGGGTAGGTCCGGGTGCTGTACGCCTTGCAGGAGGGAATCCCCGGGTGTGCCCCCGTTCCCTCCTCCAAATTCAGGCAGAATGAGAAGTGACGGGCTGGCAGGGCCAGAGTCTTGGGGAAGGGCGCAGGTGGCCCCGCACTCACCCGGACTTGGGCTTGAGGCGCCTTCTCCGGGGAACTCCCGTCCGGCCGCGCCCGCCACCCAGCCCCTCCCCGCCCCTGTCCTTAGCCGGCCAGCGCGGGCCGCCCTCCCTTGCCCTTCTAGCTCTCTAGTGTCGAAACTCGATGGTTTCCGGCGTCGCGCCGGCCGCTCTAGCAGCCCCGGGCTCTCTCTTTTTGGTTTCCGGCTCCTGTCCGGCGCTTGTAGGCTCTGTGACTCCCTGAGACATTATCGCACGTGGAGGGACACCGGACTCTGCGACACCGCCCTCCTGGCCCTCATGTTCGAGGAGCCCGAATGGGCCGAGGAGGCCCCAGTAGCCGCGACTCTCGGGCCCATAGCTTCACGTCCCCGGCCGGCGGCAGCCTTGCGAACCAAGGTGAGTGACCCTGCCGGAGCACTGGGAGCTGGTTCAGGCCGTGAAACAGATCCTTGGGGAAATCCCAGTGCCAGGACATGCAGCAGGACGGGTGTACCTGCTGCACCGTTGGTAGCTAGTGTTGAATGCAGATCGGAAACTTTTAAGAGAAAATGATGGTTGAGCTGAGAGATACCTTTTTATGAGTACAAGTTGAAGCAAAGACGGTTTCTTGTACGGCAATAGAACCTGCAAAGGTCCTGGGGCAAGAGCCCATGACCTGTTAGGGTCTCCAAAAAAAAAAAAAAGCCATGTGTTTGGAGCGTGGAAGGTAAGTGAGAGGGAATGCGGTTGAAGGTGGAGGGGTACAAGTTTTGTATATTTTAAGAGTACAGAAAAGCCAATGAAGTGTTTCTAATGGAAGTGGTTTGTTCATACATGCATTTGGAAAAGATCGCTGATTACAGTGTGGAGAGTGGGTTAAAGAGTCTAAGAGTGCTGACAACAAAGGGTTATGAGTGTTATGATTCAGAGGGATGTAGGTGGCAGGGAACTGAGGACCTCCAAGGTAAGTGCCTCACCTAAGACCACCCAGTAGGACTTAAACCCAGAATCAGCCTCCTCTGTATTATAGATCTCCACCTCTGAGCCTGTGCAAATGTACAGGCTGGAGTTACTACACTCTTTCTTCCTGTGCCCTTCATGGTGCCTCCAACATGGATTTTGCCCAGTAGACATCTGCTTTATTCCCTTTCCATCCCCTTGGCTCATTGCCACAGTCCAGATCACTGTTCTCTTACCTGGCCACCTGGAACAACCGCCTCACTGTTCTCTGCCTGCAGCTTTTCTCCTTCACAGTTTGTTTATCACACTGCAGTTAGGGGCATCTTTAATGCACACATCTGATCCTGTCACTCCTATGCTCAGAAGCCATCTGTGGTTCCCTACCTGTTGTAGAGAGATATCAGCTGGGGGAAAAACCTGAGATTGAGAGTTGGAACTCCTGGTTTCTGGCCTTGGGCCCTGTTGTTAGTGGCCTTAGCAGATTCCTCTGAGGCACCTCCATTACCTCATCTGCACATTAAAGAAAGGGGAGTGGGTGATTTCTCTGCCCTTCACCCCCAGAGGTTGGGATTGAGACATGAACTTTCTTCAGGGTCTGGCAGGCTTCCCAAGCTAGCTAAGCTGGCTGAGAAGAATCCAGAGATCTCTGGCAGCTTCTGAATCAGGGCCCCCATCTCTCCCTTCTTATGCTCCAGAACTCATCTATCCTCCTCATGCCACACTCTTCCCTTGTTTTCTGCCAGGGCTCCAAGCACCGCCAGCTTCTGGCTACCTTACAATCTCTGGAGGCAGCATCTCTTCCCCAGCAACCACCCAGCCTACCTGGCAGTGACTCTGAAGAGGAGGAAATAGGAAGGAAAAAGAAACGCCTAAAAAAGGTCTCATTTGCCAGTGCCTCTGCTGAGGTAGAGAAGAAAAGGAAGAAGGCACGTCAACAACAGGCCCCATCTAGGAGTGACTCTGAGGATGAAGAAGTGGAAAGAAAGAAGAAAAGCTGCAAACAGCCACTTGGCGGTGACTTTGTTGAAGAGGAGAAAAAAAAGAGGAAATGCCAGAAACAGACCCCTTCAAACAAAGCCCAGCACCTGGACAGTGTTGACCAAACAGGTACTATTGGATAAAACCTACATGTGTAGGGAGGGCAAGGGAGATCAGCTGATCTTACTTATGACAGGGGCTACCTGCCACCACTAGGACTGGGGCTAGACATTAAGAGATACTTTCACCAGGTCATAGCTGTCTTCAGGATAGACATGTGTTAGGGGATGTTGACGTGATGGTGCAAAATTCAGAAGAAGCTAGTGACAGTAGTAGCACAACATGAAGATGTCGGTGTCACTGAATTACACATGTAGAAATTACTGAATTGGTCAGTCGTTTGTTGTGTATATTTTTACCACAATTTAACAAAGGGGGTGCGCAGATGACAGGTATATGGCCAAGGTGACTGCCAAGTGTCTACATGCAGAGGATCTTGCCCCAAATACACCTTCTCATCTACCTACCTGCAGGTCTTAAAGCCCAAAAGGGTAGTGCTACAAATGACCCACACAAGCCAAGCCCTGGGTCTTCTTCCCCTCAACTGCCCCGTACCTTGACCCGTAAGCAGTGGCGGAACCGGCAGAAGAACAAGCGGAGACACAAGAACAAGTTTCGGCCACCTCAGCTGCCGGCCCAGGCTCCAGCCTCAGCCCCTGCAGAGGAGACGGAGTTGCCTCCTGCTCCCAGGCCAGACAGTCAAGAGGCTCGGGCAGGGGCTCTGCGAGCCCGCATGGCACAGCGGTTGGATGGTGCCCGATTTCGCTACCTCAATGAACAGCTATACTCGGGACCCAGTAGTGCTGCACAACGCCTCTTCCAGGAAGACCCAGAGGCCTTTCTGCTCTACCATCAGGGCTTCCAGAACCAAGTCAAGAAGTGGCCACTGCAGCCTGTGGAGCGAATCATCAGGGATCTTCGCCAGCGGTGAATGGGGGTAGGGCACTGAGAAGTGATGTGGGTCAGTTATCGACTCCAACCAGGCCAGTGAGTGATCTTTCCCTCCCTCTCCCAGGCCTGCGTCCCTGGTGGTGGCTGACTTTGGCTGCGGGGACTGCCGCTTAGCTTCAAGTATCCGAAACCCTGTGCACTGTTTTGACTTGGCCTCTCTGGACCCCAGAGTCACTGTGTGTGACATGGCCCAGGTAAACCCCTCTATGAATCTGGCATATGCTGTAGGTTCATGTGTTCATCTCTTTAAAATACTTTTCCCCTCCTTTATCTTTCTCCCCGTCCCAGGTGCCCAGTGCTGGTTTTCTCCTCCTCCTCACACTGTGTGTGTGCTTCTCTGCCCACCTGTGTGCTTCATACATAGTCCCTTTCTCCACAGGTGCCTCTGAAGGATGAGTCTGTGGATGTGGCTGTGTTCTGCCTGTCATTGATGGGAACCAACATCAGAGACTTCCTGGAGGAGGCAAATAGAGTGCTGAAACCAGGGTAGGAATCCCCTGGACACAGATGCATGTGTGTGTATGCACGAATCTGTGCATGTACATGGAACTTTCTGTTCTTCTCAGGGGTCTCCTGAAAGTGGCTGAGGTCAGCAGCCGCTTTGAAGATATTCGAGCCTTCCTGGGGGCTGTGTCCAAGTTGGGCTTCAGGCTTATCTCCAAGGTAAGTGCTCCAGAAAGTCTCTCTCTATTTCTGCGAAGGTACAACTCATGGGGGAGCCCATGAGAAGCTCTCTGATCATGGGCAGGAAATGGAGGGAGGTGTTTTGAGCAGCTAGGATGAGGATGTGGAGTTCACTGGGTCTTTTCTGCCCCTAGGACCTGACCAACAGCCACTTCTTCTTGTTTGACTTCCAGAAGACTGGACCCCCTCGGGTGGGGCCCAAGGCTGAACTCTTAGGCCTGAAGCTTCAGCCATGTCTCTACAAGCGCAGGTGACCACTAGACATCCCTTGAAAGGGGAGGCAGGGTTCCATCTCCTGGCTCAGAACCCTGAAGACTGGAGCCAGCCAGTCTGTGGCCAGGACCTGGTACCATCCTACCCCCATCCAAAGAACAAAGTGTGATAAAAGCCCCAGTCAGCCCCTGATCTAATGGAGGCTTCCTTGGTTGAAAGAAGCATGAAGTCACTCAGCCTAGTTAAAGACTAAAGGGTTGATTTAAGAACACAGAGAATCTAGGAATCATAGGTCCCCTTAGGAGTTGTGAAAACTAGATGGTTTGGAATTGAAGGCATCTCTGGGTTTAGTGTCTTTTTCCCTCTCTTGGAAGCCACATGGACTTTGTTTTGCTGTTTCCACTCTGCTCTCTTCAGATCTCTGTAGACCAGCTTCTCTGGTTACTCATAGCTTCTCTTTCATCTTCAGTCTGCCCAGGCCTTCAAGGTTGTAAACAGACAGGTGCTGCTTTGTACCTCGTAGCCCACCAACATCCTGATTCAACAGGCCAGTCTTGGTTTCTGTGTGGATGCTGTGTGGTGGGTCAAGACTACTTGGATGTTCTCTGCCCTGTGCACTTGTAGTGATTCATCTTTCCCCTCTGCCAGCATCTCCAACTTGGGAGCCATATGGACTAAACCACTCCCAGCATCTGTTTTCCCATAGGGCTCTGGTGTGCATATGACTGAGCACAGATTTTGGTGCCAGGCACATCTGGGTTTGCATCTCAGCCTGGCACTTAGAACTGGTGTCATTTATTCTCTGGATGTCAGATTCCACGTTCGGAAAATGTCTCCTGTCTTGTGGGGTTGCTTGTGGGTTAACTGAGGAAATCTGTAGCCTGGGCTACATAGCAGGTGCCCAATAAACCGTAACTGTGGATATCTTGTGTTGTAAGCCTTATTCTTCTCTGAAGACTTTGCCTAGTCAGAAATGGAGTTTGAGGGGTAAAGAATGGATTTGTTGGCTGAGGAAAGCTCTAGAAGAGCTCAGGATAGGCTCTTCAACAGGTTCTTTTCATAAGATATTTAGAGATTCTTATTCTTGATGGATTCTGAAATGTCCTTGGTGGGGATTTGTCAGGGAACTGGATCTCGGTTCATAAATTACTGGTTGATGCTTTGTTAGGGTGGTGGGATTAGGCTATTCAATGGCAAAAGGGTCTGTCCATTTCTTCCAAGGACAGTGCATCCTAGGAAAGCTATGGAAAAGGAAGGCTAGTGCTAGGGGTAAGAGCTAGGGGTGAGATGAGTTGGATAATATATCTCTAAATATCTTGGGTGAGTTCAGCTCCAGGCCTGAAGGATGTCTAGCACCCATAGCTCAGGGGTTCCACCAGTCTCTATCAGACCAGGAAGCTGGGTATTTTTTATTATTTTGAGTTTTATTCTGTATTTTTCTGCCACACTATCCAGGACTTTCTCTTGTGATTCCTTTCAGGGCAGTCAGCAGTGGTAGCTGGGCAACATCTAGTTCTGGTCTCAGGGTCATGGAGGCTGAGGTTTGTGTGGTCCATTAGTCCTTTGGACTAATTGTTTCCATGTGTCTTTGATTTTTGTCACTCTGCTTCAGACAGGGAGTCAGTAGTTGCACCTTACATGGCTGCCCACAAGCTTTGAAAATGCCAGTCACTACTCATCACAGTAGGATGTAGAACAGTGTCATTGTGGACTATGTTATGCCAATTGACCTTGATGTTCCCTGAGACTATTGTCCTGAGAACAAGGCCTAGCAGCTCATTCCCTCAAGGTGTTTGGTTATAGGTAAGAGGTTTTCATAATTTGGCCCCCTTTGTGCTCTACTACACTCATAGATGTATTTGCAGCACTTATAAATACATATGTAGAAATATCATCTGTCAAGCCTGTATTTATTTGTGGGTGTAGTCCCATTCACCTTCCCACACCTGTTCACCTTACATGTCTTATCTATGTGTGGTGGTTATGTTGTGTGTCAACTTGGCTCGACCTGGTTGAGTGGCTGGGCAGCTGGTGGTAGTTTTTCCCCATGATGAGACTGGCAGTCAACTCCGTGGTGGAATCTACCACAAGCAGCTGAGTAGCTACCTTTGGGATGTGGTCTGCTTCCTGTATATAAGGAGAAGCATTGGGGATAGTCTCTAGCCTAAGGACGCTTGGACCCTGCATGTAGCTGTGTTGTTGCTTAGCAACCTGCTATACTCTGCCGACCTTGGGACTTACAATGGACTTAAGTTAATGGCCCGCTGTGTTGGTAACATCGGGACTGTGCCTTTTTACTTGTCAACCTTGGGCTTGGCAGCCTCAGGAGCTAGTAGCTGTCTGAGAGAAGAAAAGCCTCTAGTTCTAGTGGGCCAAGAGCTGGAGGCAGAGCTAAAGCCCAAGGCTGAGAGGCTTTCACCCAGCCCGTAGAGCTTGGCACTTTGAACTTGACTTAAAGCCTCCAAATTATAAGAATAAACTCCTGTTTTTTAAGGCCATCCCATTTGTGGTATATTCCTGTGAGAGCAGCACTGCCTAGCCAGAACACTATGTATCCACTTGTAGATAATTGTTATTACTGTTATCGCAGGATTGTGTATGTAATAGTATTTACCTTTATTGCATTTAATGCTGTGTTCCTCCCAGTGTCTTCCTCTGCCTTGATCATTTTGTGCTGACCTCTCCCTTATTGCGGAATTAATTTCTTCACTTGAACTCTCAAGACACTATGTGAAGAGTGCTTCTTTGGGATTTGAATACTGGTTGTGATTGCTTTGTGCATTTAACTGTGAGCTTCTTGGGCCCTATTTATCATTGTATTCCCAGAGCTTATGCACTTTTTCACCTAAGAGGGGAATAAGGAATGACAGGGTCTGATTGAGTTGGATTGAAGATAGTAGAGGTTTTGTAGGAACCGAGGGTACAAGTTGAGGGCACTGTGGACTAGTGATGATGGAAGAAGTAGGCTGACAGGAGAACATTAGTAGGTAGAGTTGGTGGGATGTTGGAGGTGAATGAGAGAGAAGGGAGCCGAAGTTCCAGGTTTCTGGCTGCAAAAACGGCAAGGAGGCCACATGTTCCGACCTCCTCTAATCCCACAAAGGGAAGACAGGGTTACCAGCAGTAACCCAAGGCCTATTACTGCCAGGCCAGACATGTTGCCTCCCTCTAGTCCTTTCTCCAACTGTTCCTCCCAGAGCACCCACCACCTCTCTCCTGGGTTCGATAATTCGCTGCAGTGGCCACACAGAACTCACGGATTACGGGGTTTATTAGGGAAGCACCAGGCTACAACTCAAGTTCAGGAAGAACGCTCAGTCTCTCTCCCAGCCTACCGTCCCTCAGCCAAGAGTCTCTCACAGTCTCTTTCCCAGCAGTGCTGGTCCCTCGGTGTCTCACTCAGCAATGCGTGTCTCTCATGTCTCTTTCCCAGCAGCACGTGTCTCTTTCAGGGATGCGTGTCTCTTTCAGCAGCACGTCTTCCTCCACCAGCAGTCAGAGAGAGTTCTGCTTCCAGGAGGCCTCCTTTTGAGCCCGGAAGGGTAGTCAAACTAGCCAATCACAGCATCAGAACTCTAAGCACGTGAAAGAGAGTGGGCACCTCCCAGAACATTGTATTGTGCCACTCCCAACAGAAATAACCCAGGTGGATAGCTTCAGCAATCAGGGGCTGCTCAGTTGCTCATACAAAATCCCACCTTGGAGTTTACAAAGACTTATGGGTAGAAAAGCCACACTAAGTAATTTACTACACCGCACTGGCTTAAGCAACTGGGTGGGCTGGTGATGCCATTCAGAGTGTTGGAATTTAAATACTTCGATGCCATTCATTGTTGGGAATTTAAATGCTTCTGTGGATGTTCATTTGAAAGTTGGACATACAAGTCCCAAGAGAGATCTGTGGTAGGAATTTGAGAGTCAGCAGTCTGGTGGTGGTAATTAAAGTCATAGGAGTAGATGAGATATCTGTGTGTGTGTGTGTTTGTGTGTGTGTGTGTGATAATGAGAAGACACGGTGGCTCAGAATAGAACTCTGAGGAGCATTTAATGGATGGGAAAGGAAAATGAACCTGTAAAAGTGAAGGAAGATTAGAAGGTGGGGTCAGAGGTAGAGGAGAATATTTTTATATAGGAATAATGGGGAGGTTATCAGCCATCAAATCATGTTGAAAGATTAAGATGAGAGAGAAGTCAAGATTGCAGTGCACTGAGGATTGCTGAGTAATTTTGAGGGCCTGCTTGAGTTCGTAGTAGTGTTTGTGAATTTATACTAATCATATCAATGGTGTGGTTTTCTCTACATTCTCAGGAATCTAAGTGTGTCTGTGGAAGAGAAGAATACTAAGGGATCATCCAGCATTAGGATGAAAGAAGAACAGATAAAGAAGTTTTAGACCTTTAGCAAGGAAATGATTGCTCTTGGTAGACCATGGCATTTTGTAGAACAGGCAGGAGAGTGAAGACAAGAGTAAGTTGTTGCACTGGGAGTAATTGAACAAGTGATTTAGAAGGATTGAGGGCTGTGATCAGAAATTAAGATGCTTGAATTACTGATTTTAGAAGGAGAACAGCTCCTGGTGATGGGAAAGTATAGGGTGTGGCCAGAGAGTGAGTAACTAAGAGGCATGCAAGGGAAGGTGGCTTGAAAACTGGTTAATGAAATGTAAGTGATCAACATGGTAGCATTGAGGAAGAAGAAGACATAGAGAGGTACATGGGAGGTACAGACAACAAAGATGAACCCTTTTGCACAGACAGTACTGCATTGTCAGTGAAGGCAAACATGGGTATACGGATGGATAGATGAGTGGACAGGCTGAACTATTAGGTATGTCTGTGAAGTGGGGAGTGTACCCAAGACCATGTGTAGGGTTGGAAGACAGTGGCCCTATAAGTATATTTGTATGATCTGAATTCCCAGGTGTATAGTAGAGCTGACAAGGGACAAGGTTGTAGTTGCTTCTTGGTCACAGCCAGCTACCCAGAGGAACCAAGTAGTTGAACCTGTGGGCTCGGGACCATAGTCACAGGGGACATCAAG